ACACAATTTCAACTTTCATCATTTTCAGACCATCTTCAAAAACTCATTTTTCAAATTTCTAACCAAATCTATCCATATCCAAACGCTAACTAAGAAATGCACAACCACATCTCTTAAATTCCTAATCATCATTTATTATTCTCCCATGCTTTTTAACACCCGAGGAAAATACAAAATGAGAGATCCATTTCTCCCAAAATATAATTACTCTAAAACCCTCAATAGTTTTTCTTATTTTAATCTCACCCCACGTACTCCCATACTTTCTTTCTGCCCCCACTAGTATTTTCTTTTTCAATGCCACGCAGCCACGCTTATACAGTATGGTTTTATTGTCTCCTTTCTTGGTGTTATACAAACAAATTGGTTCTCTCTCCAAACCTGTACTCTCAAAAGTCCTGTATTTAGGAAAATACAATAAAAATGCTTCTGAGAAGTGCCTCTGCGCCAATCTTGAAATCATGGATTATAGATCCAGCTCCAGAACAAATTATCAGAACCATAAGTGCTTCAATCTCTATCTCCTCAAATCATGATCCCATCACCAAGAACATCTCAAAAACTGCATCAGACCACAATTTTAATGAATTATACAAGGCCAAGATTAAACCTTTTTCAAAAGTGTATCCTCAGTTTGCTTCAAACTGCTCAGAAAATCAAGAAAATGTTGCCAGTTTGAGTTTTGGTATTAGTACTATGTCGTTGGTGTCGAAAATGGAAGAGTTGGATCAAGAATTTGCTGTTTTAGAAAATGATGGTGGCAGTGGCGGTGATGGTGGCCGGATTTCTGGCGGCGGCGGTGGTGGAGATGGAAGTGATGAGTGCCCAGACTCTGATCATGGTAGTATTGAGGAGTATTATCAGGAGTTGATTAAGGGTGATCCTAATAATCCACTTTTTCTCGGAAACTATGCCAAGTTCTTAAAAGATGTAAAAATACTTCTTTTTTAAGATGGAAAAAAAGATTTTCTTTTTATTGATGCATATGAAATTAGAGTATATAATTTGAATAATATTGTGTGTAAAGGTGAAAGGAGATGTTTTAAGAGCAGAAGAGTATTGTGGAAGAGCAATATTGGCAGATGCAAATGAAGGGGATATATTTTCACTATATGGGGATTTAGTATGGGATGCTCATAAAGATGCTGATAGGGCAGAATGCTACTATAATCAAGCTGTGAAAGCTTCTCCTGATGATTGGTAATCTTTTAATCCATGTTTTTCAATCAAATATAGTTGTTAATATTATTTTAGATATTGCTGAATAGAGTTAACTTTGTTGTTGTTATTTCTTGGAAGATGATTATTATCTATATGGAAAATTTCCCCTTTTCTTGAAATGAAATTATGCATTCATTATAGCTTTTAGATTATTTTGCCTATGATTTACTCGTGCCTTTTTATTTTTCGTGAGTTTTTATTATTGCATATTGTTTCTTTCGCGTTGGTTTGTCTTGTTATTTTGATGATGTTATGGTCTGTTGTTACTGCTTCTTTCTGCATCTTTCCTTGTGCCGAGCGCATGTTGGAAACAACCTCTCTACCTTCTCAAAGTAGGGGTAAGGTCTGCGTACACACTACCCTCTCCAAATCCCACTCGTAGGATTATACCGAGTTTTTTGTTGTTGTTGTATAGCTTTTAGATACAAAAGGAAATCTCTTTTTGTTAGAGTTACTTAAGTGAGTCAGTGAATTTGATTCTTCCGCCTTGTTGAAGTATTTGATCCTTTTTGTTTGATTAAAAAGTGTTAAAGATGAAAGGAATTTTACTTCTGCAATTATTTTATCATCAATATTGCATTTGAATTTGCTCTTCCTATGTTAATAAGTGTCTGGTTTCTTATGAACACTTGATTGCTACTTACTTCAGAAACTCTGTTAATTTGGATAAAAATTTATTTTGAATTCCATATGCCATGTTTGCAAAAACTGGTCTTCGGAAACAGCCCCCCTAATCACAAGATAGGGGTAAGGTCTGCGTACACACTACTCTCCCTAGACCCCACTTGTGGGATTACGATTACCCTGGGTCTGTTGTTGTATGTTTGCAGATACTTGATTTTTGTCTTTGGATATATTAACCAATGCTGGAAAACTTCTTTTTCAGTTATGTTCTTGCTTCATATGCTCGGTTTCTTTGGGACGCTGGGGATGATGGTGAAGAAGAAGTTGATGTTGATGAGAAGGATGAGCAAATGTTAAATAAGGCTACTATCTTAAATAATTCATCAGTCAATTTATTTAAAGGATTAGATAGTTTCCCCTCACCTCAAATCCCTGCTTCTTGATCTGTTTGACTGTTTCTTTGTTAGTTCAGAGTTATTCTCTTTGTTGTCTCTAACATTGTAACTTCCTTGTAAATATAAACAACATAAATGATGCAATGTTGAATAGAAGCCTTCCAGTTTGTTGTTTAAATTCAATATACTTTTGGTTTGAATCTGGTTAAGGTCAGCATGCAGCTTAGTCTAGGCAAGATGAAACCTTACCTATTACTTCGATCCTTGGATAACTATGTTGTAGACTGTATTTCTTTTTAGCAAGCGGATGGGAGAATATTTATGTTCTCGTGTGTCATAGCGGTCAATGAAGTAGGTAAAAATAATGTGAGACAAGGGTTCAGATCTAAGCAGAGAGAAAATAAACTAGGTGATTTTGTTTCATTTGTCTAAGCAAGCCTTGGAGGTAGAATTATTCGGTATCTATGCGTGGTGGGAGGTACCAAGTGTCCGATAAAATTATTCCTTTATAATGGCGAGAGGTAGTAAATATCCGATGAAATAGTCGAGTGGCAGGAGGTAGTAAATATCCGATGAAATAGTCGAGTGGCAGGAGGTAGTAAGTATCCGATGAAATAGCCGAGGAACAAAGAGAATTATTCCTCTAATGTTGACTTCACTTACATTTCTGGTGACTTATGTTCTTACTCTTTTGTAAATTTTCTTGCTTTTTGTAAAAAAAAAACTCATTTAGTTTTTGATTCTCTGTATAATCGTCTTGATTTTGTTTCTTTTACTAGATATAAAGGTATCGTAACATTGTGTGTGGATTCGTTAAAAAATTTACTACTTATATATAGAAACTTACTTAGAATCAAGAATGATTGACAGAGAATATGAAAATGTTACTATTACATGTTAAAGGTTTTGAATAATGTACAAAATTGCCATAACCTCTTCCAACCAAAAAAAGAACATATTTTCCAACTAAAATGAAAAAGGGTATGATAATTTTTCCCTCTCACTATTTCTTCACTTGTCAAAAATATCTAGCATACCATAGACCTATTTTTTGACTGTCACTTCTCTCATTTTTTGTTTGTTTACTATTCTTGTCTTGCATGCTTGGTTTATGTCTTTTGAGTTGTTCACAGTTTCGGATTCCTGACTTGGCCTTGTCTTTTTCATACCTTACCTCCCATGTGAATTGCTCTTATACTTTCTTTCTATTTCATCCTTCCCCTGTTTATTAATATATATATATATATATATATATATACATACACCTCAAATATTTCATCGGATATCTACTCTCTTTCAGCAACATAAATACTAAATAACTCTAATCATCAAGATTTTGGCAAGAAAAAAAAAAGATAGAAGAAATCACCTAATACTTTCTTGTCTCTATTGAAGGAGAGAGCCTTGGAACAATGGTAAAGTTGTTCTTGTATGACCTATAAGTCATGGGTTTGAGCCGTGAAAACAGTAACTAATGCTTGCATTAGGGCAAGCTGTTTATATCACACCTATTGGAGGGTGACCCTTTCTTGGATCCTGCAAATGCGAGATATTTTGTGCATCATATTGCCCTTTTTACTTTCTTGTCTCTGCTAGAATTTGATCTCTGATCTCCCGTAATTTTTACCCACTTCATTGACATTTCATTCTCTTCTGTATATAAGCATTCAATTTTCTCAATACTCATTAAGTCAATCAAAATATTTAAGAAGATTACTTCTGCTCCAGTGGGGTTGATTGCAGTACAACTTCAATTCAGATTTTGATTCTTCCAGCCGGCTGGTGATATCTCCAAAAGAAAATATTACAACTTGCAATTTTTATTAAGGTCCCATCATTATATAAACCTATCCTTCTAAAAGATATGATTTTGATAAATCAACTTTATTAGTTTAAAAGGGACCGTTCACTTAGTCTCCGTTGGCTTAGATCATTTGTTCAACGGCTGATTGGAGATCTACAATTGTGGTCCCCATTGAAAAGGTTACCACTAATGAAGTGATAAGGCCATTTGATTACTATGTATTGAAAAATAATTAAAGAAAAGGACTTCTTGGGTTGAGATATTATTACTTTGAGAACAGCTCATAGTTTCGAAATTTTCCAACCAACATTGAATCAAGACATATCCACAGATCTGAAAATGGTTTAAACCAAGAGGGTTGGTAGATCCACATGTTGAAGGCTACAAATTTGCCCTTGGCTATCACAAGATTGACTTTAATACTCCCTCCGTTTCAATTTATGTTATGTGTCAAAAAGAATGACACATGTAACAATTTACCTTTATGCAATAATTTATAGTCACACAAAATATGTGCTTCAATTTACATCACAAATTGAAAAAATCTTCTGTTTTTTCTTAAACTCCGTGCACAGTCAAATAGGTTCACATAAATTGAAATAGGGAGAGTACTTATTCACCTGATTGGCCACATCGGATTACCCCCTACCTCCCCGAAAAAAAAAACTACACCTTAGTTACAAGCAGGTTCAGATTAATTATACGAAGCTACATTGTTCATGTTGCTCCATTTAAGTCTATCTTGGTTCTAAAGAACTCCTAACAATACTGAACCTAAAGTAAACTTACTAACATGGCATCCACTTGCATTTGTAGATGTCATCCTACTTTTTAGGGGGTGAGGGGAACAGGATTTTAAGACTCCTAATTTCACAAAACTTGGAGAAAATTGTGCCAACTGATTAACATCAGAATATGGGTTTCAAGCAAATGAATCACTTAATTGAACTGAAAAATTAAAGTGCATGGCAAAGAGAATCACGTAAAAAGTATATGCAAATTTATAAATACATAGCGATTAACAAGCAAAAACCATGATGTTCAAAGAGAACAGCTCAAACAGCCAGTACAAGCCCCATGAGTGCCAAATTTTCAACTAGTTCAAGACTTGAACGGCTTTAAGACAATTCTCCAAAAATTTTGATTACCCAGCATCAGGTGACAGGAAGCCATCTAACCCAAAGAAAAGGTGCAAAGACCAACCTTAAAATGCTGCAAGCTACCTGTTTTTTAGATGACCAAACCAGCAAATCTTGAAAGAAAAAAGGACACAAGACAAACCAACCTTGCCGCTATGAACAAAACATCATTGCTTGGTATGAAATCTTCCATTCCTTCCTTCATCAAACGAACCAAGTCTTATTCGTACCTTTTCAATATTTTAGGCAAAGAGGAACTGAAAGGTGCTTCATGTATATGTGTTACAGCTTCAGTGCTTGCTTTTACTACTCCACTGCAATGGATTGCTGCACCACATTAGTCTCAGCTTGAGCTTCAACAATTGTCATACTCTGGCTTGTTTCCACAGTAGATGTAGCTTCAATTTCATTTGTATGCTCAAGTACGTTGTTTGGTTGAGAAGCACCTTCACTCATGTCGTTGGCTGCAGCTTCATTTGTTTCCTTGGATATGCTAGTTTTGATTGAGGGCTTTTTTGTATTAATTGATAAGTTGACTTTTTGAGATGGCAGCTTCGGGAGAGACTTCCTTGTGGGCTTCTTAACAATGTCAGGAGAATGTACTTTGGTGGAATTTTGAGTTGCATTTTCATCCAAGCTCAATCTACTTGTGTGAATAGCAGTATCGTTCACCTCTCTGGTGGGGGAGCTCTTTTTCCGGCCAAGCTTGGGGGATTTAGCTCTTGTTGTGGGTATCTATATCATAAAATAGAGATAAAAGGCATAACTGGAAAATCTCTGTCTTATCTATGTTAAAAGTAAAACAGATAGAAGCATAAATAACTTAGAAGTGAATTCAGCACTACATAAACAAACCTACCTAGAAGAGCTTTAGGATCATCTTAACTAAATTAACATAGCAATAGCTAAGAGTTTGACGTGAGCTCAGTAAGTGCTAATTTTCCATGCAGTAAAGAGCAATCAGACCACGATGCAGTACCCAAGAATGACCACCAGCATATTCAGGTTCAGCTAAACCCAAACCGAAAAGGACTGGCAATATCAAGGTGTTGTCAACAAGCATATTTGACAGCAAGAGCAACTACAATTAGGCATTTACAGTATTAAACTGATCAAACCTAACAATTTACACAAGCCACGTATTCATATATTTGCAGATAAAGAGTCTTGTTATGATGCTGTTTCTGTTTACGGATAAGTAACTGGTACGGGTATGTTCAAGTTTTGGCACTTTTTAGGGTATTTGAAGCATCTGCAAAAGTACCCACATTGATGTCATACCATTCAACATGGGTACATCAGCATATGAATAGTTCATGTAGCAAGGGTAACTTCTATGGTCTTGCATAATTTATCTCATTATTTGGGATCTTTGAGCAAAATCACTAGCTCTGAAACTTCTAATACTCCTAAAACTGTGGTGTTTTGTTAGTTCTTCAAGTTTCTAATCAAGTAAACAATGAGCAACCCTTGATCTACAGATGGACAGCAACTAGACGAGAAATTTTACAAAGAACATTTACAGTATATAGTAACTGGAAATACGCTGTATGCTTCTTACAAAATATGATTACAAAAGTTGTGCATGCTCTAGATCTTCACACGATACCAACTATGAAAGCAGCTACTCATTGATGGGATGCTTGCCTACTTGATAATTCACACCTCAACCCATTTCTATCCTACTGACCTTGGATAAAGTTGATTGTTCGCGGCCCAGGGGTGGGGAAGAAGTTTATAGATTTTTATGGTTAGGGCATGCTAGGAGAGGGTCATTTTCAAGACAATCAAGTCTTGGGACAACGCTAAGAGAGAATGACATACCCACCCATCTCTTTTCCTAAATTTGAGAGACTAGATAATTAAGTCTACCTCTTTTGACATCCCTTCCATTATCATAAATCACTATGCCGCATTTATAACTTTCTTTTTCCAATAGGTACTAGAATCATATGCCTTGACTAATACTGTAAGCAAACATTTTAACGTAAAGTTGCTCGATCATTCAAGTTTGAGTACTTGCTGGCCTTTTTCCATTGGACAAAAGGACCATGATTGCATCAAAATCTCAGTCACACCCACTATACTTGAACAATCAGAGAATTACAAAAGTGACTGGAACTTTAATTCAAAACAAGTTCAGATCATTGGCTGTGTACATTAGAATATTATTAGAAATGGAACAAAAAAGAATTAGGACAGTGTCAGCACGTCAAATTTATTACCAAGTCAACCTTAACATTAACATAGTAAAAGCAATGAGCCACTTATAGTCTACCAAATATTTCCCAACATTACCATGCTATCCAACTTAACTATTAATAGTTCATAAGTTTCTTTGAAGATCCCAAAATAGTATTAAAATATAAATTATTATCACCGGATGAGATCATACCTTGATTGTGATAAAGGTCTAGATTACACATAGATAGAAGTTAGACCTGGTTAGTAGTGAAATACGAAGAGACACCAATGTTGCCATTAAGAAACTATACAGCATTTCCCAGATAGATAGGAAACTTAAAAACTTATATATGTAAAGAGAAATTAAAAACATAACCATATGTTCAACCCTCTTGCAAATTCAAAAAAAATTGCGAATTCACAATAATCAACATAGATGTATTTCAGGTATTGAAGTTTAGATCCAAGAAACAATCTATAGTAGCCTAGTATGTGACCTCCATGAGCTACCATTTATATTATCCCAATGAGAAGCATGAATCAACTCTCTGTCACAAACGTGTACTCAAGCGACTATAGAAATCATGATACTTCATTTATGAGAATCAAATAAATAATTTTTACGTTTTGAATAAGTATCCCTCCAAATTATTTTTTGATCAGTAAGCAAACAGGTACCCTCTCTGCATTGTTGACAATACCTACAACCAACCAATAAAGCAAGCTACCTCATGATACTTCTTACACGCCACATAATTAGCTTTTTCTTTTGACCAACCACCTCAAAATCAAGCACATCCACTTCAATGTTCAGTATCTCAATAAACCATATTTCAAAAGAAAAAGGACACCTCAATGAAGAGATTGAGCAGATGGTATGCAGTGGAATAGTCTGAATACAGAAAAGAACACTAGGAATTATGGATCAAAAAGGAATAAGATATCTGCACCAAAGAGTGTGGCCTAGTGGTAAATGAAGTGGGAGGAGAACCATGAGATCTCAGGCTCAAAATTCCAGTGGAGGCAAAAATACTAGGTGATTTCTTCTCATCTACCTACGCCCTATTGGGCAGAGTTGCCCGGTACCTGTGTTGTTGAGAGGTAGCAGATATGCAGTGGAATAGTCGAGACACCAACGAGCTGACCCAGACACTACCATCTTAAATAATAAAAAACGATCTCTAGGAATTAGATTCGTCGCACTTTCTTCATCAAAAAAATAAGATTTCTAAGAAAAACGATTTCCTTTTCTTTCAGACATGATAATGTAACTGAATCATACATCAGCCATTAATCTCTTTCTTGATTACTAGTATTATGAATAAATTAAATGGTTTGCAGACATTATTTTAATGGTCTAAACAGAGGCAATTTTTGTAAAAGAGTGCCATGTTAATATAGTGAGTTGCAGGTTGATATTCCACTTGTTGAAGCTCATTGTCAATATCAAGGAAGCCGAGCAGTTCAGTCCCCTTCCCTCCCCACATTGCTGATTTCTGAAGTAACAATTTCAGACAAATGAATTGTTGACATGCTATCTGGTCAGTGCTAGCACTAATGGTTGGTTGATAACTGTATTCAGCACTTATAACTGAAAAAGTTAAATATTAGGAATTATGCACATTGGATACCCGTTTAAGAAGCCAGCTCAATATACTAGAAGCAACTAAACTTGCTCCAAAAGTACAAGTCATAGACAATCTTTAATAAGTAAGCAATGGAGTAGTTGATAAAACAATTGGGCAACCGTACAAAGATCGAAGTAGGTGACGTAAATTGTCCAGCTGTGCAAAGATGAAAATTTCAGCTTTCAGTTATAAGATTTACCAAACAGCCTCTTACTCTTTTGATTTGTTCCCTTTCATTAGCATTTAGAACTTAGGAGAATAATTAAATCAGAATTCAGACCACAGTTTGCCTTCATTTCACACGACTATTTAGACATCCAACTAGCAAGACTAAGGACCAAAATGGCTATGAAACGCCAACAGTACTGTTTTCGAAGTTATAAATATGAAAGGTATGAATAACCAACTCTATGTGCAAGCGAACGCAAATTAGAGTACCCTTTATCAACAGAGCACCCAACTAACATCAGCGTGCTAGCCTAGCAACAATGGTCGTGTCAGACTTGAATAATGCTTCATATAATGTGAGACTAGCCAGTTAGGAGTTAGACTAAGAATGTCATTGGTCGTCTATTGATGCAGGGCTTTACCTGCTAGTTTTACTATACCAGCCATCTTTTTCGTATTTTGTATTCTGTATTTCATATCTATTGTATCGCTGTTATTTTATTATGCATTTATATGGTACTAATATAGCGGCTTCTGTTGCTTTTTGAGCCGAGGGTCTCCTGGAAACAGCCTCTCTACCCTTCGGGGTAGGGGTAAGGTCTGCGTACATATTACCCTCCCCAAACCCCACTTGTGGGATTATAATGGGTTGTTGTTGTTGTTGTTGTTGTATAATGTGACTCCTAACTCTTCAATATAAGTAAGGTTATATAACATGACTCATCTATTTTCCGTATAAAGTCAACCAAGGTCACACAAATAAAGTCAGTAATAACTTTATCAGACAGATCATGAAATCCAGATCCATCAAGTATACAGAACTTAACAAAGGAAGTATTATAGCAAGCAAAAGTACAAGCATCTATTTAGCATGCTGTTGTTATAAAGAAGAAAAGGAATGTGAACAATTGAAATCCTATCAGGTATTTCTTTTTCTTTGACAAAAGGTATTTCCTTATAGAACATGAATTGTTCATGAGTTTCATGACGTAAAAAAAAAAAAAAAGGGCATAGCATTACCTTCTTCAACTCCACTTTAGGAGGAGGAGGTTCCTGATAAAAGCTTGGCATTGGGGTTGCTTTAAACTTTAAGCTTTTTCTTAACATTTTGATCTCAGCTTCCTGACTTTCCTGGTTAACAAATACAAAGAGAAAAGATGAATGTCTTAAAAGGCAATGCTTAGAATCATCATCCATTTTCTACATCATGAAAATGATAGAAGCACAACAGTCACCATGCCTTAGAAAGGGCCTGCAAGTTATTCTTCTCGACTTCCTTCGCGTGGATTTTTTCCTCAAGCTTAGAGTAAAACTGTCCAAATGTACAGAAACAAATTCCCTCAAGTTTCCAGGAAATGATTACAGAGGAAAACAATCCAATATATCAAGTTTTCTGCTGATGCAAGAAGAAAGCTAACCTCTTTCCTTTTCTCAGCCCTTTCATCGCACTTGAAACTCATATTGTAGGTTGGAAGAGCACCTACTTTGCGATGCTTGGCATCTGCAGCAGGACTTCTGTAAAGTGATTAAGGGTAAACTGGAAATATTCTTCCTTTCAAACAAATGCATCCAAGAAAAACCACAATCGCTCTAGCAAAGAGGCAAGCAGAAAGCAGAGGAAAAAGTAAAGAAAGATCAGCCTATATAGGATACGAAGGTGATTCTTCACTTCCATCAGCTTGATTTGGGGCAACTTTCTCACTTCCATCAGCTTGATTTGGGGCAACTTTCTTCAAGGGTTTTGTTTTTGTTTTCTCCCTGTAGCATTGAAATTATAGTTCACATGTCACCAAGGAAGATATATTCAACACAACAGATGGTCATCAAACAACAAGTAGAAAAACAGGACATACTTTAGGCCGTCAGCATTTGGAGAAGGTGATGTTGCATCAGGTTGACCAGATTGACGCTAGATGAAAGACATAATAGAAATGAGCAACAACACAGAAGCACATAAAACGACAAACTAAACAGACTACTGTGCTCTGAGCTGTTTTTTTCTAAAACAAGCACGGTGATATGGACCTTTACCTTAGCATGACTAACATTTACACGGGCAACAATAGGTTTTGAATTGGTATCAGCAGTTTTCCTGTCGTTAAATGATTTACTCTTTGTGCCAAGGGAAGAAGTCTGTTTAGTGCGTGGCTGCGAGGCTATGGAACCATTTGAAACAACAGAACCAGCTGATGCATCTTTGCTTTTCTTGACCCGAATAGATGGAGCATTTTTGGGGCTTGACGGCTTACCATTCTTTGCCTTTCCCGAAGCTTTTGGCTGTTTGGAGTTCTTCGACTCTCCAGACTCTTTGGTATCATGTCCCTAGAAAAGAATTACATTATCTTGGTGTCAGAAAGACCCAATTGAAGTTAATAAACCAGCAATGAACTCCTTTACCTCAGAACTTGCACTGGGATTGCTTTCTATAGTTGTGGTTGATTCATGCACAACCTCTGCGATAGAGGAGCTGGAACTCCCATTGGGAATGCCATCTAGTTTGCCAGCAACAGCTTCTGGAAATTCGTGAACTCCATTTTCAAAGCTCGTCCCATTTTCGGAAACAACTATGTTATTGTCAATTTCCATCATGCTCTACAAAGTTGCAAACTTGCAATCCACAATTCTACAAGCCAAACCACAAGCACAACACATCTCATGATGTTAGAGAAATGGGGATTTTTAAAGTATAATTAAAAAAATACAGAGTCTATTTTCTTCATTGTAGTAGGTAACACTCAGATATATAAATTATGCCACGCACTACATGAGAAAACAACCATCAAACAAAATGCAAATTTAAACACAAAAAATCAGAAANCAAGCCAAACCACAAGCACAACACGTCTCATGAGTATAATTAGAAAAATATAGAGTCTCTTTTCTTCATTGTAGTAGGTAACACTAGGATATTTAAATTATGCCACGCACTACATGAGAAAACAACCATCAAACAGAATACAAATTTAAACACAAAAAATCAGAAAAATCAAACCTTAATAATAACAAGAACCTCAACTTTGAAAGTTAAGATTTCAAATATATAAAAAGTCCTTCCACCAACTAAACATACTAAACTTCTACTAGTACACAACCACTCTGGTTTTCTAATAGACCACAGTCCATAAATCAAGAACTCAGACTTCTCTTCACTAAACCTCCTCAAGTCCAAGCCTTTTCAACTGAAGTGAACAAAATCAATGGTAAAAAGCAAAGCATCACGCAACAGAAGTAAAATGAGAAAACCTACAAGTCCAAAACCAAAGAACTCAACAAAAAAAAAAAAAATCAAATCACAGTACCACAAGACGACAAAATCAGTAAACTAGAATATGCTCTACTAGATCTCCTACCCAGGAACCAAAAAAACCGATCTTTTTTGCATTCCAAGATTCAAACTTACTGAAAATCTAAAACCCCAAAACAGCATTTTCAGCTTCAGAACTCTAATGTCCATAAGATATAACACTACAGTTTATTGCAAACCTTAGAAAGACAAATGCAGATGCTAGTGCATAAGATGTACTCACTTAAATCACCATAAAATGATTATAAGTCCATTGAATCCACAAGAGATCTGACAGAATCTTGGAAAATGAAACTGACCCCAGAAAGAGAAACAACTCCCGCAAACACAAACTAAGATCTTGTAACCTTAAAATGGTGATTTACAGAAAATGCTGTTGTTGTAA